CCACCACCCAGGCAGGAGCGCGAGGCACGCCAGCATGATCACGCACAGATGGCGCCGAAGTTTGTGCGCACTCGAAAGTCGTCGATGGTTTTCGGGAAGGCGTCCACCCGCTTGAGGGGGATCTTGGCTGTGAAGCCCATTTTGCCGGGAAATGGAGCTGGGTAACACCCAGGACAAGGTCCCAAAGGGAGGAGGTAGAATGCCGCAGAGGGGCAACCGGCGAGGGCGAGAAGGAGGAAGGAAAAGAGGGGGGGGGGAGGAATCAGAGAGGGCGCGCGAAGGATGGCAAGTGGAGGAGAGGCTCACGATGGGGGTTCCATGGCTGCGGTCGGCATGGCCTCACGTCCTGAAAAGTAAAGAGCGAGAGAACGACACGACACTCCCCTCTTGCGACCTCCTGGTGACCCGGGACAGCACTCCGACCCGGATGCGCCTCAACAAACGGCCGATGGCCCCCACCCCCGCTCCCGGACCAAGCTGCGCCTAGCGCCGCCGCCAGCGAAAGATCCGCAGTGCGCCCTCCCCTCCCCCCCCCGCCCACCCTATGGGACGGATTGACAACATCGGTCAGCTGTTTGGCAGGGAAAAACTCTGGCGCGCATTCCCCGAGGGGTAGCCAACAGACACCGGGGAATGTTCCTGTGCTCGCATCCTCCGGTGACCCTCTCGGGCCTCGGGGAGTAGAGCCCTCTGTCTCGGTGGAAGTTGGACAGTGTACCCCCCGGCCCTAGGGTGTCGTCGCAAGGCCGCCCTCCTTCCCCCCGGGCCCCGATCTTCGATGGGAGAGCTCCAAGAAGTCTGGCCGGATGTTCCGGACAATGGACGCCCCGACCTGTGGGTTGGCCACGGCAAGCGTTAACGCTCGCTTGTGGGCTAAGTTCATGGGGCTGATCTTGAGCACGTGCCTCCTGGATCACTCTGCATATCCAGAACGTGGATCTCGTTCCCTCGCCGCTCCCGTCGAGCTGGCTGCGGGGCCGAACGACCGGCGCGGGTTGTTTCCTCCTGGGCAAAGAACCAATCCCCGGCGATGTGTGGTCGCTGCCTCGTTTTACTCACTTACTCACTCGCCCTCTGTGCCTCTCTCCTTTTGGGTCTCTCAGTTCACCCGGTCCTCTTTCCATCAAGACTCGGAGATATTATGACCATGCTGGGCTTGAATCATCCCGGGAAGAAGGCAAAGAGCTGTCTTCCGGCTCCTCTTCTGCCCTCCCTCTTCGCCCGGAGACCCTCCTTGCTCGAAATGTAATGTCGCCAAACAACCCAGATTGCTGAGCACACTTGGCAGTCCCAGATGTACAGACACGTGTACACACACACACACACGCACGCACGCACGCACGCACGCACACACACAGCAAAAGAGAGTAGCCGGGGGAAAATCAAGCAGATGCATTTGGTATTGTGTGGGGAGGGGGGGATATAGTGCGTTGCATGAAAAAAAGACCCGCCAGGCGCGCACAGCCGCGGGGCCCCCGACCCCTTCCCCACAAACTGAGGGGAGAACTAGCACGGGAGGGTACACACTGCGCACGGCGTGGCTCCTTCCCTGGCTGAGGGAGAGAGCGCGAGAGAGAAAAACGGACACCCAAGCCCATTTAACGGCGAGAGCCGGAGTAAAGCTGGACCTTGTCCATGACAATCTGGTGGCTGATCTCACCAGGCTCGCCGGAGAGGTTCATGGAGACGTGGTACGGGTGGAAGGTCTCCAGGACGGCACCCTGGTGAGTGCCGACCTTGGCCTTGGTCATCATGCGGACCGAGGGGCCGACAACCGAGACGAAGGCGAACTTGGTGGTGGGGATGCCATCGACCGGGTCCACGACACGGATCAGGCCGTACGCCAGGGAAGAGGTGTTCAGGTGGCCGGCCAGAACATTGGCGGGCTCCTCCTCGTTGCCAGAGGCCAGAACGGCGATCGGGTTGTTCAGGGCGTCGCCAGGGTAGTGGCACAGAACCCAGGTGAGGTGGCCATCGTGGACCTGCTTGATGGCGTCGATGGCCTCCTGGGAGAAGGAGACCTCTGCATGGGGGGGGGGGGGAAAGGCGACAAGGTGCGCGCGAGAAGGGTGGGGACGACATGGCGAGTGAGCAACAGAATGGGGCACACGTGGTGGAGGAGGAGCAAACGGGCGTGTGTGTGTGTGTGTGTGTGTGTGTGTGCACATACCGGAGGACTTGCCGCGGGGAACAGTGCCGAGAGTGGGGCCGGAGCCCTTGACAATGCGGGCGCCAGCCGGGGCGGCAGGGGTCGCCGGGGCGGCGTTCTGGGTGTTGACGGTGTGGGCGCTCAGGGCGGTGTAGCCACGGACCTGGCGGTCATCGATGTTGTCGAGGATGTTGTCGGAGCGGCCACTGTGTCAAGCCAATGGGTCAGGGGCTGGGAGGGGCGCGCGCGCATCGGAAACATGTGTCTGCGGGCGTCTCGGGAAGAGACAGGGCAGAGGGGAGGAGGAGCTGGGGAAACGTACACATTCTCGGCGACACGCTTCTCAATATCGGCGGGGGTGATCTCGCTGACCTTGGTGATCTCGAAGTCAACATGGTACGGCTATGTAGCAGGGGCGAGGGCGAGGGGGGGGAGGGAGGGGGAGGGCGAGGCAGGCGCGTGTGTGTGTGTGTGTGTTTGCGTTTTCCGCGCGGTCGTGTGTACGAGCACACGCACCGAGGGAAGGTGGGGGAATGCAGGATGATGTGGTGCGGTCAGTTGGCTGGACAGATGGACACTGGTCGTATGTCGGCGGTAGTGTCTCGGGCGGAGGGGGGGGGGGGGGGGGGGACATACCTCGAAGATGCCGCGGCACTTGCCGAAGACAATGCCGAACTTGCCGCGCTTGACGAAGGGGACATGGTCACCGAGCAGGTAGATGTACACGAACTTCACGGTGTTGGACAGGTCGAACTGCTGGTTGACACGGACTGTGTGTATGTGTGTGTGCGCGTGTAGACATGCAGAGTGAAGCGTCAGTGGATGGTGAGCCGCAGAAGGGAGGGAAGCAGGCCAGCGGGTGGCACGACGCACCGAAGGCATGCATGGCGCAGCTGTCGTCCATGTTGTTGATCATGTCCTGGACGTCACCCTCGCCGGTGGAGTGGAGAGCCAGCTCGTTGGGGTTGTCATCAGGGTGGACGGCGATGACCCTGCGGAAGACGAGGCCAGGGGAGAAGAGAAGAGGAACAGGGCAGGGGGGGGGCGCGCAGATGTAAGAAAGGGAAGTGGCGGGGGGAATGCCGACAAGGAGACAGGCGTCGAGCCGTCGCGTACCAGGTGTTGGGCTTGGCGTCGTCGCGAACGGCGGCGATGGCGTCGAGAAGAGTAGACTCAAAGGAAACGTCGGTGGAGGACATGGCGTGTGTGCGTGTGCAAAAGGCGGGAGAAAGGTCCAATCCAACAAGAGAGAAGGCGGGACGTTGTCTCTCCCCCCGGGCGAGCCGGGGCCAGCGCCGCGCGCGGGGCTTTTAAAATGGCCCCCGGCTCCCTCGCTCTCTCGCCTTCGGCCCCTCTCTGCTCCCATGTTCCCGGGGCTTGCCAGGGGGGGAGGGGGGGATGATGGGGGTGGGAGGGCCGCTCAGGGGGGAGTGGACTGGCTTGGCGCTGGTCCGCCGAGCAGGTCGCCAGCAGCCGGGGCCAAGAGGTGTCCCCCCGCTCCCACCCCCGCCGGTAGCCCTCCCAAAGGCCAAGACGGCCTCCCCCGACTGGGCTCGGCCCGGTGTCGCTTTTCCCCCTTTTTGCTCCCTCTTTCCCCTTCTCTTTTTTGTTGGGTGCGCTCTCGTGGAACCACAAGCCGGGGGGGGGGGGGGGGGGGGGGGAAGGGGGGAATAGAGAAGGGGAGCCCACCAGGGTGTGGCCGGTAGACATGAACTGCCCCTGTCCCCCACCCCCCGTGTGGCCTAGTCGCCTCAGTGGGACCAGAAACAAGAGGGGGAATGCCCCTGGGCCGGGTGCTTCTCGGTGCGAATGCGCGCGGGCGCGCGAAGGAAAGGTGGGGCGGCCTGTTGCTGGGCCACAGCGGTTTACCCCGGGGGACCGAGGCTCCTCCCCCCGGCGTGCCCCCCTGCACTCCCACACCCCGACCAAGTTGCCAAGGGTACATGCCCTGTTGTGCGCACAGTCGAGCCTGGACAGGGGCGGGGGGGGGAGGGACCCGGCAGGACAAGCCGACTGGCTCTTGGGGAGAAAGGGCGGAAATCCGAATTTCAAAAATATAAAAAATAAACCACCGAGCGTGCCTTGCTCGGAATGTCTCGAGCCCTTGACTCATGCACGCCCACAGAGCCGGGCGCTCCTCCGGCGAGATCGGTCAGCCCCGCTCCTGATCGGGCGCGCGCGCCCCTCCCCGTGTAGTAACATCCCTCCTGGCCCCTCGCCCCTTGTTGGACACTTTCGGTTCTCCCTCGCGCCGCCCCCCCCCCCCCCCCCCGCCCAACATTCGCGCGCACGCCCGCGCCGCCAGCCGGCCGGCTGGCTCCCCGCCCGGCCTTGCCGCAAGAAATGCCAGGGCCTTCGAGAATTCGGCGATGAGCGTCTGGGCAACCCGGTGGGAGGCATTCCCCCAAGGCCAGCCCCCAACCCCCACTAGGGCCTAGTGTAATTGAGCAGGGCAGAAAATATGACAGATACATTCCGAGAGAGCACGTGCTTGACTTATGGTACGTGATACAGGCGGTCCGCCACACGTGCCACCACATCCAGGAACTGGTGCATCGCGGCGAAAGTGCTTGGCTGGCCCTGGCCAGGATGCTGCTGTTGTTGCTGCTGCTGCGGCGGTGCTGGCTGCGAAGAGGACGCCTGCCGGGCGGCCGCCGAGGGGAGGTGGCCCTCGGACATGCCAGCCCCGCCACGATTGCCCCCTGTCAAGGACTCGGCCTGTGCTTGTTGCCAGTCCAATAGGTGCTGGCGTAGAAGTCTGAAGAAGACCCGCGCATCATCGCGGGTCAGGGCCGGAAGCTGGTTCAGCGCGGCGGTTTGCGAACCACCGGAGGAGGAGGAGGAGGACCCAGCGGCAGCGGCGGCAGCGGTAGTGGCAGCAGTGGACCCGGCGTCCGAAGGGAGGGGGAGCGCCTGGGCCTCGCCCATCGGCGACGCATCCATCGCCAGGGGGGCGGTCCCAATGGCGACAGCAGGAGTGGCAGGAGCAGAAGCAGCGACCGCCGCGCCGGCAGCGAAGTCCGCGGCTTCCCCCCCCGAGGCCGAAGGCTGGCTCGCCCCCGGCGGTCGGGCGGAGAGAATGGCGCTCGGTGGTCTTGATGCATTGCGATTCGGCGATGGCGATGGGGAGATCGTCCCCGTGGCCGAATGCTGCCCCTCGGATCCGGCGGACAGGTGGCTCATTTGCCGAAGGCTTGGCGAAGGGGTGACGCCCCCCCCTCCGGGCGGCCCGGCCCCATTGCCCCCGGTGGCAACAGACATCGTAGAGGCGGTCCCATGCTGGGACTGCTGGTGGAGCTGCTGCATGGACGGCGAGTTGCCGGCGAATGTTCCGCCCGTTCCGCCGGCCGCCGGCGACGCGAGGCCTCGCCTTCCAGTGGGCGCGCACCCGCGCCGCAGCGGATCCACCACACGCTCCAGGATGTCCAAAAGCACCTGGCGGAAAGTCCGCTCGGCCAGCAGATGGCTGGCCAGCGACAGGAGATTCGGCAAGAAGCGTCGCAGGAAGGCCCTGAGCGAGCCGGAGGGCCGGCCGAGCTCCTGCTCCAGGGCCATTTGCAAGGCGTCACGCAGGCGATCAAATTCCACCGTGTACGCCGCGCCCCGGAGGGAGGCCGCCGCCTCGACGAAAAGCGGGTCAATCTTGACCGACACGCATGCCGTGACCAGGGGCAGTTCCGGGCTGAATGCCGGATCCCGGCGGAAGTGCGCGTGCGTGCCATCCGTCCAGCCAGCCATCACGGCCACCAGACAATGCTCAATGTCCGTGAAGGGAACCTGCCATAGCCGCCGCGAGCGCGTAGTGACCACTGACGAGATGTTGCTGTTGGTGGAGGCCGCCACCGTCACCGGGGACCTGAAGGCAGAGCCCGATCGACTGGCCGCCACGGGCGAGGAGTGCCCATCGGCCCCGGTGCTGGAGTAGGCTTGCAACGTTGACAGGGAGGATTCCGAGGACATGCCGCCATGGGTGAGGCTGCTCATGCGCTCGGTCGAGTGAAAGGCCATTCCAACACTGGCCGAGGTGACGCCCAGCAGAGGCGCCGCCGACATGGAGCCCAGGTCGGCCGGGGCCGCGGCGGCCATGGCAGCGCGCTCCTGCGCACGCATCTCCTCAAAGCTTTGCGGCGCCGGGGGCCGTGGCGCCGGAGCTTCGACACTGGTGATGGCAAATTGGTGGGACAGCGAATCGGCAAATTGGAACATCTGGCCGACCGGTGGTGCGCCGACATCAATGCGGTGATAGCGCGCGAAGATGATGCACGCGTAGCGGCTTACAGGGGGGGGGGGGGGGCAGCGAGGCGCGGGTCAGCATGCAGGCCCTGCATCGGGAGGTGTGACAGGTGAAGGGAGGGAAGAGGGCGGAGGAAGAAAAGAGTACGCACTTGACCAGCGCATCTCCCAGGCAATAGGAGGACTTGATCTTCTCAGGGAAAGGCCCGGTCGTGTCGATGGCCTTGGTCACGCGTTTGAAGTTTTCCAGCTGCATTCGCGTGTCAGAGAGGGGAGGGGAAGAAAGGGGGGAGGGGGGCGACAAACAGTTGCACCACACAGCGACAAAGCTCATGGGCGCGGAGCAGCAAACACACCTGCCGACGAAGCACGGTCTGTGCAACGGCCAGGATCTGGTCCGAGTGTGTCTTGATGTCAATGGCGGACGTGCGCGCGCCGGCGGCGCCAAGCAGACCGAAGGACAGCTGGAAAAGCAGCCCACTGGCGAAGCTCCCGCCTCCGCCGCCACTGCCGAGGGCGCCATCGCGAGTGGTCCCGGCAACCGGCCGCCCGAGGGGGGCCAGATCGGCCGAGGAAAGCCCCGAGCCTCGGGAGATGCCCGTGGTGGCGGTGTCATCGGGCGCATGGAGGCTGGCCATGTCGTGCATCAAGGTGGCCCGGCGGACGTAGCGCATGAGCTCCTCCTCCAAGAGCTTGCGTGTGGAGTTCCCCAGCTTGGCGTGGGAGATCACCTGGCGAGCGAGGATGTCATCGATGTGATAATACTCGTCCAGTACCCGGGCTATGACGTGCCGCGGCAGGGGCGGGAGAGTGCTGACCGGGACGACAAAGAGGTTGGCCGAGTCTATCGTGACAAGTGGCGATACCAGGGGGCGGGGGCGGGGACGGGGGCGGGGGCGGAGGCGGAGGCGGGGCGGGGCGGGGCGATGAGGGACGTCGGCGTGCACATGTCAGGCCTGGTGTGTCTGCGGTCTGAAGCGCGCGGGAAACTGCGTGCGAGGGAAGGCGAGGGGGAGAGGGGGAGACAAAGAGGGCCACATACCGATCGGCGGCTCGACCAGGTGTTCTTCCATCAGGGCAAAGAGCCGGTATTGCGTAATTACATGGACCTGGACCTGGCCCGGGGCCAGCCGGTCGCGGAAGATTGGATGCTTCATGGCCAGGTGGGCTGCGGCGGAACCGGGGTGACAGCAGGCCTTTCGGTGAGGATGGACAGAGAGAAGGAGAAGGGGAGAGGATGGAGCCAGGCACGAAGGTGCACTGTATGCGGCCACGCACCCGGGATGCCTCGTATCCAAAGCTGGAAGCAAACATAGTCCAGTCGGGTGGGGTGGTCGACGACCCGACAAAAGCCCATGCCTTAGATGTGAGATATGCAGGGCGCCTGGGGCCGCATCTGCCGGATGCCGGGGGCTGGGTCAAGAGAGAGAGAGGAGAGAGGGAGGAGGGGGGGGGGGAGGGAGAGATGGAGAGGAGGGTGGTGTCGTGCGATCTGGGCTTGGGGATGCCGACAGGCGCGCTTTTTTTTTTCGGGCTAGGAGGGAGGGGAGGACGGGGGAGAGGAGCGTGGATACCGCGACCTTGGGGCCGCAGGGGGAAGCGGCGAGGTGGCGCCTGGTGAACCCCTTCATGCTGTGGGATCAAGAGACCGGGCGCCCAGCCGGTGTGGGATCGTTTCGTCGGGACCCCCGAGGGGCCCAAGGGGATGATTTTACGGACACATTTCCGGCAGGTCAATTTGGGAGATGCACACGACTTCCGGCCATCTGGGCCAGCCCTCCGGTCCTGGCACCAGCCAGGCACCCCGCTGCCCCCGCCGCCTCTCTCCCTCCCTCTATTTCTCCCTCTCCCAGTCCCCCCCCGATCGGAAGCCTCGTCCGTCTTCCTCCCCCCCCCCCCCCCCCCCCCGCCTCCGTTCCCGCGAGTTAAAGTGCGCGGGCTCGCCTTGGCCGGGGACTCCGGCCACCTGCCAGCTCCGTGGAAACTCGGCTGCCCTCTTCCCCCCGACACCACGGAGCACCCGCCCGAAGGGGAGCTTTCTTGCCCAGATGGCCTCTGCGCTCCGCGAGAATATCACGCTTCCTAAGGGCACCACATGATCCAGTCCCAGCCGTGGGCTGATGATTCCCGACGCACGGCCTCCGGTTGGCGGGAAAGTATGTATATTGGCCCCCGCCCTTGCCCCCGCCCCCGCCCGTGTGCTTGGAGAGAGGGAAGGAGAAAGAGCCCCCAGTAACTGCCCACACGCTTTGCGGCGGCCGCGGCGGG